AAAGCCTCCTTCACTCATGCTGCCAAACATGCCCTCGTAAAACTGACTATCCTACCGATCCTTGACTTCGGCGATGTCATTTACAAAATAGCCTCCAACACTCTACTCAGCAAATTGGATGTAGTCTATCACAGTGCCATCCGTTTTGTCACCAAAGCCCCATATACTACCCACCACTGTGACCTGTACGCTCTTGTTGGCTGGTCCTCACTACATATTCGTCGCCAAACCCACTGGCTCCAGGCCATCTATAAATCACTGCTAGGCAAATCCCCGCCTTATCTTAGCTTATTGGTCACCATAGCAACACCCACCCGTAGTATGCGCTCCAGCAGGTATTTCTCACTGGTCATCCCCAAAGCCAACACCTCCTTTGGCCGCCATTCCTTCCAGTTCTCTGCTGCCAATGACTGGAACGAATTGCAAAAATCTCTGAAGCTGGAGACTCTTATCTCCCTCACTAACTTTAAGCATCAGTTGTCAGAGCACCTTACCGATCACTGCACCTGTACACAGCCCATCTGAAATTAGCCCACCCAACTACCTCATCCCCATATTGTTATTTATTTTGCTAATTTGCACCCCAGTATCTCTATTTGCACATCATCTCTTGCACATCTATCTTTCCAGTGTTAATACTAATTGTAATTATTTTGCACTATAGCCTATTTATTGCCTTACCTCCATAACTTGCTACATTTGCACACACTGTATATATATTTTCTGTTGTATTTTTGACTTTATGTTTTGTTTTACCCCATATGTAACTCTGTGTTGTTGTTTTTATCGCACTGCTTTGCTTTATCTTGGCCAGGTCGCAGTTGTAAATGAGAACTTGTTCTCAACTGGCTTACCTGGTTAAATAAAGGTCAAATAAATAAATAAAAATCAGCAATTGTGGGTTCGATTACAGGCTCAAAATGGCCAGAAACAAGTAACTTTCTTCTGAAACTCATCAGTCTATTCTTGTTCTGAGAAATGAAGGCTATTCCATGCGAGAAATTGCCAAAAAACTGAAGATCTCGTACAACGCTGTGTACTACTCCCTTCACAGAACAGCCCAAACTGGCTGTAACCAGAATAGAAAGAGGAGTGGGAGGCCCCGGTGCACAACTGAGCAAGAGGACCAATACATTAGAGTGTCTAGTTTGAGAAACAGGCACCTCACAGGTCCTCGACTGGCAGCTTCATTAAATAGTACCCGCAAAACACCAGTCTCAACGTCAACAGTGAAGAGGCGACTCCGGGATGCTGACCTTCTAGGCAGAGTTGCAAAGAAAAAGCCATATCTCAGACTGCCCATCTTAATCTTTTATTTTTATTGGCCAGTCTGAAATATGGCTTGTTCCTTGTTATTACCTTTACGTCTGCAGCCCAAACTTGGCCCAGTTGGCCCGTTGTAGTGCTTCACTCCTGTCCCTGTTTGAAACAACAATGTTACTTACATTGAAATTAAGTAAATACTGTGCAAGAACAGATAGGCAGTCTTATCTGGGCAAGTGAATGTAACGTTACATACCTCCATGGCTATCACATCCACATTGTGCTTTGGTGAATACGATGCTGTGGCTGGCCATTGCTGGCCAGATAGCAAACTAGCCAACTTAACCGCATTTACCATCATTTAGCTAACTAGTAACGGTCAAGTTCATGTTTCTAGCTAGCTAGCGAAGCTAGCTAACATTAGCAAGTAACGTTAACTAGCTAGGCTATCTAGCGTTATTGTCCTCGTTGACGTTAACATTACACAGGTAAAACTACTCACAAATGAAGGAAAGCAGTAACGTTAGTTACTTGAGCAACCTAACTTTGCATTCCAATCTGGTGCATGAACAGCCTAAAAACTAGAAAGATGTTCAAACACGTTGGTAAAAAAAAAAAGAAGCTGGCTAAGCCATCTAGCTAACGAGGTCTATTGTCTCCCGCAAATGAGCCACACCATGCATGATTCAAAATCCAGGCTAGTGAATTGGTGAAGTGTTATTGTTCGGTATTTCCAAACATTTGGTGGGTGTAAAATAAAAACAACTAAACTGTTATTTTGTTCCAAAAGTCTGTGGAATTTTCTTCACTTTGAAAACTCGATAGAGGATGGTAACAACTTCCTGTTGAGGCTTTTCGGCTTCTTCTGTGGGGTTTAAGAGGTGCCGCGAACTACTGTACCTAGTGATCAACACTTTTCTTCAAGTGGGTGAGACGGTTTAGGGAGTGGCATTTATTGTTAGAAAGAAACCGTTTGTATTGCCTCAATTACAGTGGGGGAAAAAAGTATTTAGTCAGCCACCAATTGTGCAAGTTCTCCCACTTAAAAAGATGAGAGAGGCCTGTAATTTTCATCATAGGTACACGTCAACTATGACAGACAAATTGAGAATGTTTTTCTCCAGAAAATCACATTGTAGGATTTTTAATGAATTTATTTGCAAATTATGGTGGAAAATAAGTATTTGGTCACCTACAAACAAGCAAGATTTCTGGCTCTCACAGACCTGTAACTTCTTCTTTAAGAGGCTCCTCTGTCCTCCACTCGTTACCTGTATTAATGGCACCTGTTTGAACTTGTTATCAGTATAAAAGACACCTGTCCACAACCTCAAACAGTCACACTCCAAACTCCACTATGGCCAAGACCAAAGAGCTGTCAAAGGACACCAGAAACAAAATTGTAGACCTGCACCAGGCTGGGAAGACTGAATCTGCAATAGGTAAGCACCTTGGTTTGAAGAAATCAACTGTGGGAGCAATTATTAGGAAATGGAAGACATACAAGACCACTGATAATCTCCCTCGATCTGGGGCTCCACGCAAGATCTCACCCCGTGGGGTCAAAATGATCACAAGAACGGTGAGCAAAAATCCCAGAACCACACGGGGGGACCTAGTGAATGACCTGCAGAGAGCTGGGACCAAAGTAACAAAGCCTACCATCAGTAACACACTACGCCGCCAGGGACTCAAATCCTGCAGTGCAAGACGTGTCCCCCTGCTTAAGCCAGTACATGTCCAGGCCCGTCTGAAGTTTGCTAGAGTGCATTTGGATGATCCAGAAGAGGATTGGGAGAATGTCATATGGTCAGATGAAACCAAAATATAACTTTTTGGTAAAAACTCAACTCGTCGTGTTTGGAGGACAAAGAATGCTGAGTTGCATCCAAAGAACACCATACCTACTGTGAAGCATGGGGGTGGAAACATCATGCTTTGGGGCTGTTTTTCTGCAAAGGGACCAGGACGACTGACCCGTATAAAGGAAAGAATGAATTGGGCCATGTATCGTGAGATTTTGAGTGAAAACCTCCTTCCATCAGCAATGGCATTGAAGATGAAACGTGGCTGGGTCTTTCAGCATGACAATGATCCCAAACACACCGCCCGGGCAACGAAGGAGTGGCTTTGTAAGAAGCATTTCAAGGTCCTGGAGTGGCCTAGCCAGTCTCCAGATCTCAACCCCATAGAAAATCTTTGGAGGGAGTTGAAAGTCTGTGTTGCCCAGCGACAGCCCCAAAACATCACTGCTCTAGAGGAGATCTGCATGGAGGAATGGGCCAAAATACCAGCAACAGTGTGTGAAAACCTTGTGAAGATTTACAGAAAACGTTTGACTTGTGTCATTGCCAACAAAGGGTATATAAAAGTATTGAGAAACTTTTGTTATTGACCAAATACTTATTTTCCACCATAATTTGCAAATAAATTCATTAAAAATCCTACAATGTGATTTTCTGGATTTTTTAGTTGACGTGTACCTATGATGAAAATTACAGGCCTCTCTCATCTTTTTAAGTGGGAGAACTTGCACAATTGGTGGCTGACTAAATACTTTTTTCCCCACTGTATATAGTATATTAAATCAATGTAAAAAAAAATGTAGGCTGTTTTTGGGCATAGTCAATATATCATTAATCTACTTAAACTAAATGATTAGGTGTAACACTGTCATCCTCACTGATTGTAAATGCATTATGTTCACATTGTGGTTGTATTGTTTTTAAATTGGCAAATAAATCGAATCAAATTAAAATTACAACAAATGTAAGGTATTTATAGAAACAACAAAAACAGCTTGCAGCCTCTGGCTGGCTGTGGTTACATGTATGGTGGCAGGCCGAATTTGAGATTAGAGAAATTCCTTGCTGTTGTCTTTCAAATTAGCTCATGGCTAGATGGCTTGTCTAGGGTTTAAAGCTGTCCTCTGAGCGGAGGCAAAACGCCAGAGATGCAAAAGCAGCCTGCCAAGGGTTTATAGTGGTCCTATGAGTGGAGGCTACCCGCCAGAGATGCAAATGGTCTTGAACTTTACCATTTGCCCGCTTGCAGTAGGAATTTATAGCCTTGGGTGTAAAGGCGGCGGCAAATAGCGAGCAGGAGCAAATGTTTTGCTATCTGGAATCCCATCCCTGCATTGAGGCATGTTTTCTGACCCATACCTCAAGCCAGCTCCATTGTGTCATAATGTAACCATGATTGCGTTCCGACCTAAGCGCATCTGTGTAAACAAGCGTAGATAGGCTCGGAATCTGCTGGCTAGTTAGCTACTTACCGGCGACCTAAATTACTATAAAACCATTCAAAACTACGTTTGCCACACTTACCCACTGGTAAACTGTTGTTGTCTGAAATGCATTTATTCTCGAAGGTGGCCAAAGTAGGGTCTTCAAAGGAATAATAACTGCTCGGAAAATGTCCTTGGTCTCTCAAACATCTCAGTCAACCATTCTTGACTCCATTGGTTGCCATGTATTAAACGTCAACACGCACATGCGCAGTGCAGAATTTATGGGATGCTCGAGGTAGTAAAACACGCCACTCTCTTCAGCACCAAAATACTGTTTGACAAATAAAGTAATACATTGACTACAAAATCCGAAATATTTTATGCAGTTTCTACTACCTCAGGACTGAATCGGTCCAATATTTACCAAAGACTAGAATTGTTTTAATAATGTGTAGCGGATTAAACTCAACTCCACGATGTGATGGAGCGTCTAGTGTAGTCGGACTGGAAAAACGACATTTCAGCCACCAAATAACCCGCAATTGCAAACGACATACTTGTTGAAAAGCATTTAATACAAAAAAAAGGCATCTTGATCGGTGCATAATTAGGATCATGCCTAAATTGACAGTGGTCCAATTATTAAAAAATAAATGAAAAATCTGGATACTTTATCAGCTTTAGGCTACTGGCAAAACAGACAATGCATCAATACCGCGATTGAAAGCCTGGGGAAACATGACCATTATTTGACAGAGCATAAAATAGAAATGTGACTTGACAGAACTCAAGATCAGAGTCATTCTATTGTCCACCAGACATGAGACTGTTTTAGGTAGGTTTTTGATTTGTCATTGTCTAGCTGTTGGACAAAAGATTACGTGAAAAGGCTTGGTGGTAGCATTGGATAAACAACATCTGCAAAGCAAATAAATCATTCTGTACATTCAACAGAATCTTTACACTAGTGTTAATAAGGAACAATCCCCAGTGTCTGCTTATAGGCATCTATATCTACGTGTCTGTATATTAACATTCTGTAGAAGCTTTCCCTTGAACTCGATGATATAGTGGGACTGGGGACATCTTACATTTGTTGTCACTTCTGCATGAGCCGTGGTAACACCACACTCCGCCTAGAGAAGGTCTAAACCCTATTCATCTTTCCCATCTCACTTCCAAATATTCCAGAAATACAGCATCTAGAGCCTCCCATTATGTTATGTGTTAGTGGTGATGAATGTGATGACAGCTGTTGTGCCATACAGAGAAGCTAACACCCTGTCTTGTATTGGTACACGTGTGTTGTATCTGTCACTGTGTAGTAGATATAATATACATTGTGGATTAAAGTTTATCTCAGTAGGGTGTGGCTTTGAAGTAGTCTTCCAGGGGGATGAGTGACACCCCTCCAAACCAATCCTGGAGCCAGACCTGGGTGAGCTCCAGCTTCATAAAGAACCAGTTGTGTTCCACTGGCCATTTCTTCATCACAGGGTGTCTGGAGGAAGAGAGGTCGAGTAAGAGCATTATACACACAGGTCTTGCACATGTGTAGTCACTGACTGGTGAGCTGGTGAGAGACAACAGGACAGACACGCAAAACATGTTCAGGGAGGATGAGCGATTAGCGTGCACTGTGCACACACCTGGAGAACATGGCCTCCTTGGCAAACTCCACCTCCTCTGGGTTCACCTCCACCATCTTGCCTGTCATAGTCAGCCTGGCACAGCGTGGGTCTTCAGGATCATACATCTGTTGCCTAGGGAGACAGAACATCATGTGTAACTGTGCCACTTCAATATAGTACTGGATGGGGACCCAATATTCCCCACCCATTCACCTACCTCCCCAAGAAAAGGAGGTGGGTGTCACTCTCTGTCCTACCTGCAGAAGTCTCCCTCTGCCTCTGAGAAAGTGAGAGAGGCAAATGGGAAGCTTCTCAGGTCTGCTACAGTGTTGTCCATCGGGGTGACGTAGAAATAGACGACTCCTGTACTGTTGTCCTTCGGGCCATCACTGACCGAGAAGATATTCCCAAAAGGAAGGCCCTTTATCTGTCGACACAAACGTGTTGTTATACACAGGCACACACAAACAGGCTATACCTGGCTGTTCTCTGAACACAAGACATGATAGTAAATGTTGAGTGATAATGTGCTTCATGGAGCAATTGCAATGCAGTACTGTACCTTGTCTTGAGTGGAGATGGTGGCGAGATGTCCCCAGTCGCTGTAGTGGGCCATGTATCTGGCGGTCCTTGCCGTCTCCTGGTGTGGGGGAGGTGAGGGGGCACTGGCGGGCGCTTTCATCTCCTCCATCCGATAGGAGAACACCCTGGACGCAGAGGACACGGGCGCTGCATCCTCGGTTTTCGATTTGCCGCTTTCTTTGGGCTTCTCCGCACCATCTTGTAACACCAAGGGCGGGTATGCCTGTTTCCAAAGGCCGCTGTTGTCCACTATCACAGCGGGGGCGGCCTCCTCCTCCGACACGGCGTCGTTGGAGGCGACAGCCCAAGAGTTCCTGAGAGTGTAGCTCTCACAAAGGCACAGTGTAGCGGCAAATAATGCCAGGGAAAGATGGTATGGCTTCATCAAACTGGAAGATATTTTATTTTTTTCAAGAGAAGTTGTCCGTGTTTACTGAATCACGTGTGTCTGTGTCGTGTGTTTTCGTAATGTAAACAGAGAGGAATGGGCGGAGCCACTAGTTACGAAAGTGGTAGACAATAATTGCCACAGCGCCACCCCCTGGTACAGCACGTAATAAAAGGGTGAATGTTGCCTTCCTTTCCTCATTGACTTTTTCTGATATCATTCAGAAATTCTCCCAGGCCAGAACTAGTCATACATGTTGCTTTAAATGTGGCTTGACACATTTTATATTTCTGTGCAGCTTTCTGAAGTTGTACTTTGGCTTTGAACAACAAAAATATTTTTGAAATGAAATCCTTAGATAATAATAATTTGGTGTGTGCTTATATTTGTCCAATTGGAAATATTGGAGAAATGTTTTTGTTGTTGCATATCCCACCCTTGGAGAGTGGGGTCATGGCCAGGGTACTTTGAATGCTCTGTTTGTATAGTCAGCAAAAATACAATGACAGATCATGTCTTATTGACAGAAAACATACCAATACATAAACATTTATTACATTCATAATACTGTAAATAATTAATCGACAATTCAAACAAAATATCAATAATGTTTTTTCCATCTCCAACATAAGCCCAGACTTTGGGACAAAAATATGTTTGGATCAAAACTCTGAGAGACAGAAAACATACACATTTATTGACAGGAAACCAGTCAGCTTCATAGTTATCCCATACACAAACATAAAATACAAACATTGTCTGGCCATTCAAGGGAAGCAGGTTTTACAGCTTGCCAATAGCTGTTGCTTCCAAGGTCAATTAAATTCCACTTTAATGAACTCAAAATCTCACTTTGACTTTCACTCTCTCTACATTCCCATCACTATCATTGTTGATGTTTCTCTCCCTCTGTCACTCTCACAACTTACAATTGAGCTCTTGTCCAGAGCAATTAGCAATAAGTGCATTCAAATAAGGAAATCCCCCAACCAACCAGATATTTTTATATATATATACTAGATAAAGAAACATAAACATAAAACGAAACCCACCACAGACAAATAAAACTACCACACAAATAATAATGATTTATTTCTGGAGTTCGGTATTGCTTTCTTGTATTTCTTTTGTAGTGAGTTCTTGGTCTTTCTTTCTTTCTTTCTTTCTTTCTTTCTTTCTTTCTTTTTCTCATTCTATCAGTCCATGGTCTTGTCATTCCAGGCCATTGACTTCCTCTTGGCCAGTTCCATCCAAGATGGCTGACCCCCACTGTCAGAGATGGTCTGCAAGGGGGATGATGACGAAGGTGATGATGAAGGAGACGGTGACGTTGGCATGTTCTTCCTTAGCCGTTTGTCCTCTCGGTCTGCAAGTCTGCCTGTCACTATGGTTGGACTCGATTCTAAGAGGGGAAGACATAGAGAGGCTGTTATGATGACCATAGAAATTAATAGGATACTATCTTAATGGTTACTATAACATATAATTCAGTCATTATTTCAACCCGTCCAATTTATTTAACATCTCTCTACCTGGCCTCCTGTCGAGTTTAGCATCTTTAGCGTCTCTGTGAGTAGGTGTGGCTTTGGAAGGAGCAGCCAATTCAGCCGTGGGCTGAGACTCAGATGGGGTCCTGGTTCTCCTGAGCTCTACCTGTATGGGGGAGGAGTGAGATGAACTGAAACTCTATTTGATTGACACCGCTGTTCTCAGATGATGTGAGAGAGAGCGAGGGGATGTTACCTTGCTCCCAGCAGGAGGAGTCCACTCTGCCCGTTTCTCCAGAAAGGCTGCCGTCCCTCCCAAAGTCCCTGGCCTGTCCCGGTCCACCCTCTTCTCTGTTGACACAGCCGCCCCCTCACTATTCCCCTGGAGGCCAGGGGTCCTCTCACCTCTCCCTAGTGCTGGGACTAGTGGTTGGACTGGGGTTGTTGTTGGATCTGAGGCTGGTTTGGGCTGGGGGATAGGGTTGAGACCTTGTGCGCTCCAAGGGGGCTGGCTGGGTGTGGAGCGTGGGCTTGAAGAGAGGGAAGACGGGGCCGGTGGCTGAGTGGAAGTGGCACCCATTGGGGCGATCCGTAGTGTTGATTGGGCTTGGGTCTGTGGAGTTGAGCACAGGGTGGGCTGGTTTGCTCGTCGGCTGGACTGTGAGGTCACCTGAGACACGGCGCGTAGGGTAGATTGTGCTAGCGGTTGAGTGGCAGTTGGTTGTGTCGTTGTCTGTGGTTGTGTTGCGTTCTGTGTCTGTGGTGTTTTGGTGGTCTGTGTCACTGGTAGTTTTGTGGTCTGTGTGGGGGCTTGTGCTGCCGTCTGTGGTGGTTGTGCTGCCGTCTGTGGTGGTTGTGCTGCCATCTGTGACTGCAGAAGTTTAGCAGTCAGGGGTTGCATCGTGGTCTGTGATTGTGGTTGTGTTGTGGTCTGAGCCTGTGGTGGTGTTGTCAGCTGTGTTTGTGGTTGTGCTGCATTCTGTCTCTGAGTTTGCGTCACAATCTTAGCCAGTGACGGTGTCTGTGGTTGCGTTGTGGTCTGAGCCTGCGGTTGAGTTGGGGACTGCATGCCGGTGAACTCTCTGGGTAGACTGCTGGTGAAGAGCTGCTGGAGGCCCCTGGTCTTCCCCCATGCCATGCTCATCCAGGATACGGCAGCCTGGGGTGCCGCCTTGGGGGCAGTCGGGTGGTCCTGAGGGGCTGAGGAGGTAGTCTGGGCTTCTATGGGTGGGACAGGGATGGTTTGGTCCTCCTTAGGGGTAGCTGGGGTGGTTTGCGCCTCTTTAGTGAGAGGTGAGGGGGTAGGCTGGGCTGGGGTTGCTGTATCTGAGGGAGGAAACAGGGGGTTAGACACATTCACATGATGAAACAGCTCTGGTGTTTTAACGAGCACAATAACAGTCTTTATCATCCTGGTGTAGCCTGTTATTCTTATTCTCCTTCATTGGTTTTACGGCCCTGATAACATAGAGATTGTATATTCTGTAGAAGTGTAGCTGGGGACAAAGTCCAGCACTGACATCCCTATCCAGTGAATGTATGACTTAAAGTATATTATATTCTTTATTTACCCACATGGGTGAATATTCAGCCTTTTCAGAGAGTGGGTCTCACCTGCTTCTCTGAGGGAGCAAGCTCTCCCGCTGGATGAAGACAGTGTTGTGGGGGCATCCCAGTTGTTTGTATAGCGCTTTTTGGGTGTGGAGTTAGCCCTGGCTGGAGGGGTGTCCCGTAGTCCCTCAAGCCCGGTGGGTTTTGAGGAGGGGGTGTAAGTGGCAAGAGGGAGAGCATCCACTTCCGCACTGTGACGCTTAATCTTGAGATCTGATTGGCTGGTGGCTGCCTCCGCCTGGACCCTCAGAGAGATGGAGCGAAGGTTCACGCCGAACGCCATTTTCCCCTCTTCCTCCTTCTCCTCCTTTGCTTCCACTGCTTCCTCCACTCCCTCCCCGCTCTCCTCCTCTACCTCCTCCCCTTCCGAGACTTTCCCCCCCATATCGATGGCAGTCAACTCCTCTTCTTTGGGCTTGTCCCCCTTCCGCCTGCCCCCCTGCTGCTCCTGCCCCTTCTGGCAGGCATTTGAGGAGGTCAACTTCGCCTCTGTCCCCTCCTCCCTCCCCACCCTCTTCACCCCAGCCCCAGCCTGCTCCACTACTCCCAAGAAACCACCATTTCCCATCCTGGATGTTTCCCGCTCCTTGGCAAAGTTGATGGAGAAGAGAAAAGGCCTGGAGCCTGGCTTCGGAGCTCCTCCAGTGGACATTGGCTCTGCCTGACCTGGGTCCTCCTGGCCAGCAAGTGGCTCTGTGGTACTCTGACCACCAGCCCTAGCCTCTGTCTTCCTCCTCAGAGAGGACGTTCTGAGAGTCACCACTGAGGCTAGGCTAGCTGCGGGCCTGGCGGCCGGGACTGGTTCGTCTTTGGGGCTACCCTCGGTGCTGGGGGTAGAATCCGGCACCCCACTCTTGCTCAGGACGTCCCTCTTGGTTTGGGATGGGTCTGGGGGCTTGGGGTCTCCCAGGGACTGTTTAAGGGTCTGCTGTTGTGGAGTGTATCTCAGGTCCTGGACTGTGGTCACAGATGAGGGCTGTGGTTGTTTAGCTCCAGGTAGCTGGCGGGTCACAGGGGCAGGGGAGATGACTGGAACCCCAGGATGGGGCTGCTCCTGTGGGGAGGGCTTACAGGGGAGGGTGGGGGTGGAGGTTTTTGGGCACCCCACAGCCTCTCTGGAACCCGACTTTAGGGGTGTCAGCTCTGGGGGTGCAGTGGGGGTGGTCGACCCCCCTTGTTGCGCCTTTAGGATCAGGGTAGAGTGACAGCGTAAACGTGTTCTTCCTCCTGTAATGGCTGGCCCTTCCTCTTCCTCCTTCTCGGTCAAGGGTCGGTCGAAGTTGTTGAGACTCTCTGAGCGTGGTCTCGACTCAGTCTAGAGAGAGAGAGAATCTGAAGTCAGATGTCTACTGTTTGCTGATGATCTGGTGCTTCTGTCACCAACCAATGAGGGCCTACAGCAGCACCTAGATCTTCTGCACAGATTCTGTCAGACCTGGGCCCTGACAGTAAATCTCAGTAAGACAAAAATAATGGTGTTCCAAAAAAGGTCCAGTTACCAGGACCACAAATACAAATTCCATCTAGACACTGTTGCCCTAGAGCACACAAAAAACTATACATACCTCGGCCTAAACATCAGCGCCACAGGTAACTTCCACAAAGCTGTGAACGATCTGAGAGACAAGGCAAGAAGGGCCTTCTATGCCATCAAAAGGAACATAAAATTCGACATACTAATTAGGATCTGGCTAAAAATGCTTGAGTCAGTTATAGAACCCATTGCCCTTTATGTTGTGAGGTATGGGGTCCACTCACCAACCAAGAATTCACTAAATGGGACAAACACCAAATTGAGATTCTGCATGCAGAATTCTGCAAAAATATCCTCAGTGTACAACGTAAAACACCAAATAATGCATGCAGAGCAGAATTAGGCCGATACCCGCTAATTATCAAAATCCAGAAAAGAGGCAATAAATTCTACAACCACCTAAAAGGAAGCGATTCCCAAACCTTCCATAACAAAGCTATCACCTACAGAGAGATGAACTTGCAGAAGAGTCCCCTAAGTAAGCTGGGGGGACTGACCCACAGAGCCCCAGGACAACAACAGCAACACAATTAGACCCAACCAAATAGAGAATTACTTGACACACTGGAAAGAATTAACAAAAAAACAGAGCAAACTAGAATGCTATTTGGCCCTAAACAGAGAGTACACAGTGGCAGAATACCTGACCACTGTGACTGACCCAAAATTAAGGAAAGCTTTGACTATGTACAGACTCAGTGAGCAGAGCCTTGCTATTGAGAAAGGCCGCCGTAGGCAGACCTGGCTCTCAAGAGAAGACAGGCTATGTGCACACTGCCCACAAAATGAGGTGGAAGGAAACTGAGCTGCACTTCCTAACTTTCTGCCAAATGTATGACCATATTAGAGACACATATTTCCCTCAGATTACACAGACCCACAAAGAATTCGAAAACAAATCAAATTTTGATAAAATCCCATAACTATTGGGTGAAATACCACAGTGTGCCATCACAGCAGCAATATTTGTGACCTGTTGCCACAAGAAAAGGGCAACCAGTGAAGAACAAACAGCATTGTAAATACAACCCATATTTATGTTTATTTATTTTTTACTTTAACTATTTGCACATCTTTACAACACTGTATATAGACATAATATGACATTTGAAATGTCTATTATTTTGGAACTTTTGTGAATGTAATGTTTACTGTTAATTTTTAATTGTTTATTTCACTTTTGTTTATTATCTATTTCACTTGCTTTGGCAATGTAAACATATGTTTCCCATGCCAATAAAGCCCATTGAATTGAAGAAAGAGAGAGAGAGAGAGGAGAGAGAGAGAGAGAGAGAGGAGAGAGAGAGGAGAGGAGAGAGAGAGAGAGAGAGAGAGAGGAGAGAGAGAGACGAGGGGAGAGAGAGAGAGAGAGAGAGGAGAGGAGAGAGAGGAGGAGAGAGAGAGAGAGAGAGAGAGAGAGAGAGAGAGATCATAGAGCAATAGTGTATCCAGTTAGTATTTTGATATTTCCTGAGCCTTCCTCTGTATGTGTGAGAACCAGAGGCAGAGCCCCATGTGGTGTTGGTATGCCCAGGCAGGACTCACCATGTTCAGCATTTTGTTCTTGGCTCTGGCTCTCTGGTTCCTGGGCTTGATGGACATGCGGTGGCGGGCGGCAGAGTTATCCAGGCAGGGGGTGAACTGGGCTGGGGTGCTGAAGTCCAAGGCAGGGGGGGCAGGGGAGATGGCAGAGTGGGGGGCAGATGGGGTGGGAGGCACGGAGCTGGTAAGAGGAGGTTTGGGCAAGGGGGAGAGGGGTCGGGACGAGGGTTGGGAGGAGGCCTATGAACAAATAAAACACAGGATAAACATCTCAATCTATGACGACTCATAGTTGATATCAAGTGATATAGTGAGTGACACGCAAACAGGAAGAGGTATTACCTGCACTTCCTCCTCACTTCCTGTTCCTGCTAAACTCAGAGAGCTATGGTGCCTGGGAGGGGCAGGGAACTGTGGAGGAACAGGGAAGGGTTTGGGTGATACACAATGGCTGATGAGGAATGAAATGTTCAACTACTGTATTTGCACTGCTGGAATATAAACAGACAGTTACATACTGATTCATTGAGAGAAAATGGAGTTATGGAGGGTTTGTTAAGGGTATGGAATTTGTTGAGGTTGGAGGTTGGAGAGAGGATGGAGAGAGTGCCTGAGGATACAGGTGGGTGATGGGCTCACCTTGTAAGATACCCCCCTGGGGGCTCTGTTGTTGCCTATGGAGATTTCGGGGGGGCTGTGGGGCAGACCATTGTCCTCTGAGCTGCCCCCCAGGTCCTCGGGATGTTTAATTGGCAGAACCAGTGGGGGCGGGCCTAGATGCATGTTCTGCTGCAGCAGCTTCATCTGGCCAATCAGAAATCATGTAGAAACCTAGCTTGAGATCTGTTTGGTAACCCATTGACATCAATTCCTGATTTACACAGAAGTATGAGGGTCTATGGCATGGGGGTCCAATCCATTTGATTATATATATATATATATATATATATATATATATATACTGTATCTCACAAAAGTGAGTACACCCCTCATATTTTTGTAAATATTTGAGTAGATCTTTTCATGTGACAACACTGAAGAAATGACACTTTGCTACAATGTAAAGTAGTGAGTGTACAGCTTGCATAACAGTGTAAATTTGCTGTCCCCTCAAAATAACTCAACACACAGCCATTCATGTCTAAACCGCTGGCAACAAAAGTGAGTACACCCCTAAGTGAAAATGTCCAAATTGGGCCCAATTAGCCATTTTCCCTCCCCGGTGTCATGTGACTCGTTAGTGTTACAAGGTCTCAGGTGTGAATGAGGAGCAGGTGTGTCAAATTTGGTGTCATCGCTCTCACACTCCCTCATACTGGTCACTGGAAGTTCAACATGGCACCTCATGGCAAATAACTCTCTGAGGATCTGAAAAAAAGAATTGTTGCTCTACATAAAGATGGCCTGGGCTATAAGAAGATTGCCAAGACCCTGAAACTGAGCTGCAGCACGGTGGCCAAGACCATACAGCAGTTTAACAGGACAGGTTCCACTCAGAACAGGCCTCGCCATGGTCGACCAAAGAAGTTGAGTGCACGTGCTCAGCGTCATATCCAGAGGTTGTCTTTGGGAAATAGACGTATGAGTGCTGCCAGCATTGCTGCAGAGGTTGAAGGGGTGTGGGGTCAGCCTGTCAGTGCTCAGACCATACGCCGCACACTGCATCAAATTGGTCTGCATGGCTGTCGTCCCAGAAGGAAGCCTCTTCTAAAGATGATGCACAAGAAAGCCCGCAAACAGTTTGCTGAAGACAAGCAGAATAAGGACATGGATTACTGGAACCATGTCCTGTGGTCTGATGAGACCAAGATAAACTTATTTGGTTCAGATGGTGTCAAGCGTGTGTGGCGGCAACCAGGTGAGGAGTACAAAGACAAGTGTGTCTTGCCTACAGTCAAGCATGGTGGTGGGAGTGTCATGGTCTGGGGCTGCATGAGTGCTGCCGGCAATGGGGAGCTACAGTTCATTGAGGGAACCATGAATGCCAACATGTACTGTGACATACTGAAGCAGAGCATGATCCCCTCCCTTCGGAGACTGGGCCGCAGGGCAGTTTTCAAACATGATAACGACCCCAAACACACCTCCAAGACGACCACTGCCTTGCTAAAGAAGCTGAGGGTAAAGGTGATGGACTGGCCAAGCATGTCTCTAGACCTAAACCTTATTGAGCATCTGTGGGGCATCCTCAAACGGAAGGTGGAGGAGTGCAAGGTCTCTAACATCCACCAGCTCCGTGATGTCGTCATGGAGGAGTGGAAGAGGACTCCAGTGGCAACCTGTGAAGCTCTGGTGAACTCCATGCCCAAGAGGGTTAAGGCAGTGCTGGAAAATGATGGTGGCCACACAAAATATTGACACTTTGGGCCCAATTTGGACATTTTCACTTAGGGGTGTACTCACTTTTGTTGCCAGCGGTTTAGACATTAATGGCTGTGTGTTGAGTTATTTTGAGGGGACAGCAAATGTACACTGTTATACAAGCTGTACACTCACTAATTTACATTGTAGCAAAGTGTCATTTCTTCAGTGTTGTCACATGAAAAGATATACTCAAATATTTACAAAAATGTGAGGGGTGTACTCACTTTTGTGAGATACTATATATATATATATATATATATATATATATATATATATATATATATATATATATATATATATATACAGTGGGGAAAAAAAGTATTTAGTCAGCCACCAATTGTGCAAGTTCTCCCACTTAAAAATATGAGAGAGGCCTGTAATTTTCATCATAGGTACACGTCAAATATGAGAGACAAATTGAGGAAAAAAATTCCAGAAAATCACATTGTAGGATTTTTAAGGAATTTATTTGCAAATTATGGTAGAAAATAAGTATTTGGTCACCTACAAACAAGCAATATTTCTGGCTCTCACAGACCTGTAACTTCTTCTTTAAGAGGCTCCTCTGTCCTCCACTCGTTACCTGTATTAATGGCACCTGTTTGAACTTGTTATCAGTATAAAAGACACCTGTCCACAACCTCAAACAGTCACACTCCAAACTCTACTATGGCCAAGACCAAAGAGCTGTCAAAGGACACCAGAAACAAAATTGTAGACCTGCACCAGGCTGGGAAGACTGAATCTGCAATAGGTAAGCAGCTTGGTTTGAAGAAATCAACTGTGGGAGCAATTATTAGGAAATGGAAGGCATACAAGACCACTGATAATCTCCCTCGATCTGGGGCTCCACGCAAGATCTCACCCCGTGGGGTCAAAATGATCACAAGACCGGTGAGCAAAAATCCCAGAACCACACGGGGGGACCTAGTGAATGACCTGCAGAGAGCTGGGACCAAAGTAACAAAGCCTACCATCAGTAACACACTACGCCGCCAGGGACTTAAATCCTGCAGTGCCAGACGTGTCCCCCTGCTTAAGCCAGTACATGTCCAGGCCCGTGCTAGAGTGCATTTGGATGATCCAGAAGAGGATTGGGAGAATGTCATATGGTCAGATGAAACCAAAATAGAACTTTTTGGTAAAAACTCAACTCGTCGTGTTTGGAGGACAAAGAATGCTGAGTTGCATCCAAAGAACACCATACCTACTGTGAAGCATGGGGGTGGAAACATCATGCTTTGGGGCTGTTTTTCTGCAAAGGGACCAGGACGACTGATCTGTGTAAAGGAAATAATGAATGGGGCCATGTATCGTGAGATTTTGAGTGAAAACCTCCTTCCATCAGCAAGGGCATTGAAGATGAAACGTGGCTGGGTCTTTCAGTATGACAATGATCCCAAACACACCGCCCGGGCAACAAAGGAGTGGCTTCGTAAGAAGCATTTCAAGGTCCTGGAATGGCCTAGCCAGTCTCCAGATCTCAACCCCATAGAAAATCTTTGGAGGGAGTTGAAAGTCTGTGTTGCCCAGCGACAGCCCCAAAACATCACGCTCTAGAGGAGATCTGCATGGAGAAAGGGCCAAAATACCGTGTGTGAAAACCTTGTGAAGACTTACAGAAAACGTTTGACCTGTGTCATTGCCAACAAAGGGTATATAACAAAGTATTGAGAAACTTTTGTTATTGACCAAATACTTATTTTCCACCATAATTTGCAAATAAATTCATAAAAAATCCTACAATATGATTTTCTGGATTTTTTTCCCTCATTTTGTCTGTCATAGTTGACGTGTACCTATGATGAAAATTACAGGCCTCTCTCATCTTTTTAAGTGGGAGAACTTTCACAATTGGTGGCTGACTAAATACTTTTTTTCCCCACTGTATATATATAATATACAGTGCATTCGGAAAGTATTCAGACCCCTTAATTTTGTCCACATTTTGTTATGTTACAGCCTTATTCTAAAATGGATAAAACAATTCTAAATCCTTATCAATCTACACAAAATACCCCATAATGACAAAGCGAAAAGAGGTTTTTAGAAATGTTTGCAAATGTATTAAAAATAAAAAACAGAAATACCTTATTTAGATAAGTATTCAGACCCTTTGCTATGAGACTCGAAATTGAATTCAGGTGCATCCTGTTTAGAACATCCTTGAGATGATTCTACAACTTGATTGGAGTCCACCTGTGGTAAATTCAATTGATTGGACATGATTTGGAAAGGCAGGTTTGGAACCACCAAGACTCTTCCTAGAGCTGGCCGCCCGGACAAACTGAGCAATCAGGGGAGAAGGGCCTTGGTCAGGGAGGTGACTAAGAACCTGATGGTCACTCTGACAGAGCTCCAGAGTTCCTCTGTGGAGATGGGAGAAACTTCCAGAAGGACAACCATCTCTGCAGCACTCCACCAATCAGGCCTTTATGGTACAGTGGCCAGATGGAAGCCACTCCTCAGTAAAAGGCACATGACAGTCCACTTGGAGTTTGCCAAAACGCACCTAAAGGACTCTCAGAACATGAGAAACAAGATTCTCTTGTCTGATGAAACCAAGATTGAACTCTTTGGCCTGAATGCCAAGCGTCACGTCTGGAGGAAACCTAGCACCATCCCTACGGTGAAGCATGGTGGTGGCAGCATCATGCAGTGGTGATGTTTTTCAGCGGCAGGGACTGGGAGACTAGTCAGGATCGAGGGAAAGATGAACGGAGCAAAGTACAGAGAGATCCTTGATGAAAACCTGCTCCAGAGCGCTCAGGACCTCAGACTGGGGCGAAGGTTCACCTTCTAACAGGACAACGACCCTAAGCACACAGCCAAGACAACGCAGGAATGGCTTCGGGACAAGTCTCTGAATGTCCTTGAGTGGCCCAGCCAGAGCCTGGACTTGAACCTGATCGAACATCTCTGGAGAGACATGAAAATAGCTGTGCAGCGCCGCTCCCCATCCAACCTGACAGAGCATGAGAGGATCTGCAGAGAAGAATGGGAGATACTCCCCAAATACAGGTGTGCCAAGCTTGTAGCATCATACCCAAGAAGACACAAGGCTGTAATCGCTGCCAAAGGTGCTTCAACAAAGTACTGAGTAAAGGGTCTGAATACTTATGTAAATGTGATATTTCAGATGTTTATTTTTAATACATTTGCAAAAATTTACAAAAACAAGTTGTTTGCTTTGTCATTATGTGGTATTGTGTGTAGATTGATGAGGTGAAAAAACAATTTTATCAATTTTAGAATAAAACTGTAATGTAACAAAATGTGGAAAAAATCAAAGGGTTTGAATACTTTCCGAATGCACTGTATATAAAGTGCCAGTCAAAGGTTTGGACACACCTACTCATTCAAGGGTTTTTCTTAATTTTTACTATTTTCTACATTGTAGAATAATAGTGAAGACATCAAAACTATGAAATAACACATATGGTATCATGTAGTACCCAAAAAAGTGTTAAGCAAAACAAAATATATTTTATATTTGAGATTCTTCAAATAGCCACCCTTTGCCTTGATGACAGCTTTGCACACTCTTGGCATTCTCTCAACCAGCTTCACCTGGAATGCTTTTCCAACAGTCTTGAAGGAGTTCCCACATATGCTGAGCACTTGTTGGCTGCTTTTCCTTCACTCTGTGGTCCGACTCATCCCAAACCATCTCAATTGGGTTGAGGTCGAGGGATTGTGGAGGCCAGGTCATCTGATGCAGCACTCCATTACTCTCCTTATTGGTAAAATAGCCCTTACACAGCTTGGAGGTGTGTTGGGTCATTGTCCTGTTGAAAAACAAATGATAGTCCCACTAAGCCCAAACCAGATGGGATAGCGTATTGCTGCAGAATGCTGTGGTAGCAATGCTGGTTAAGTGTACCTTGAATTCTAAATAAATCACTGACAGTGTCACCAGCAAAGCACCCACACACCATAACACCTCCTCCACCATGCTTTACGGTGGGAAATACACATGCAGAGATCATCCGTTCACCCACACCGCGTCTCACAAAGACACGGCGGTTGGAACCAGAAATCTCACATTTGGACTCCAGACCAAAGGACACATTTCCACCGGTTTAATGTCCATTGCTCGTGTTTCTTGGCCCAAGCAGGTCTCTTCTTCTTATTGGTGCCCTTTAGTAGTGGTTTCTTTGCAGCAATTCAACCATGAAGGCCTGATTCACACAGTCCCCTCTGAACAGTTGATGTTGAGATGTGTATGTGACTTGAACTCTGTGAAGCATTTTTTTGGCCTGTAATTTCTGAGGCTGGTAACTCTAATGAACTTATCCTCTGCAGCAGAGGTAACTCTGGGTCTTCTATTCCTGTGGCGGTCCTCATGAGAGCTAGTTTCATCATAGCGCTTGATGGTTTTTGCGACTGCACTTGAAGAAACTTTCAAAGTTCTTGAAATGTTCCGTATTGACTGACCTTCATGTCTTAAAGTAATGATGGACTGTCGTTTCTCTTTGCTTATTTGAGCTGTTCTTGACTTGGTCTTTTACCAAATAGGGCTATCTTCTGTATACCCCCCTACCTTGTCACAACACAACTGATTGGCTCAAACGCATTAAGAAGGAAATAAATTCCACAAATTAACTTTTAAGAAGGCCACCTGTTAATTGAAATGCATGAAGCTGGTTGAGAGAATGCCAAGAGTGTGCACAGCTGTCATAAAGGCAAATGGTGGCTATTTGAAGAACTGGATAAGAGCATCTGCTAAATGACTAAAATGTAATGTAAAATGTAAGAATCTCAAAAATAAAATATATTTTGATTTGTTTAACACTTTTTTGGTTACTACATGATTCCATATATGTTATTTCATAGTTTTGATATCTTCACTATTATTCTGTAATGTAAAAAAAATGTAAAAAATAAAGAAAAACCCTTGAATGAGTAGGTGTGTCCAAACTTTTGACTGGTAGTGTATATAAATGACTAAAACCAAATCGAAACTATGTAGAAATTATAATGGACATACATTTATACAGTTTCTTGACTGTGTCCAGCTCGCTAATCACCCAAATTACAGCTAGACAGTCAGGGAGTATCGAAAATTCCAAAAACGATGGATAGATAACTATTTTTTGCTAATTTTGACTGCGAGAAAATATGACACATTTTCAGTGCAGCCCTCCGGACCTCGTAGAATAAATAATGCGGGCCCTAGAGTTTGACACCCTGGTCTATGGGGTTTACTATGAGGCGTGCGACTCATTTTGAATGTGGGTTGGGCCTTTAAATGCATATGCAGGTTTCTAGATTCAGGGTTCACCATGGAATGCAGACTCACCTGGAGTTCTTTGATCCTGCCTTGGACGTTCTCCTGGGATAGAACTCTGGGCTGCTCCGGACTAGACAGATCCTGGTCGGCCAGGAAGATACTGTCATGTGACAACGCTCGCGATCCCAACATGCCTGAACACCTGGTAGAGGAGGGATGGAGAGAGGAGGGAATATGGATGTCATGGAATCAATGCTCAATTTGTAAACACACACAGTGGTGTAAAGTACTTAAGTAGAAATACTTTAAAGTACTATTTAAGTAGTTTTTTGGGGTATCTGTACTTTACTTTACTATGTATATTTTTGACTACTTTTACTTTTACTCCACTACATTCCTGAAGAAAATATATACTTTTTACTCCCATACTTTTCCCCTGACACTAAAAAGTACTTGTTACATTTAGAATGCTCTGTCAGGACAGCAATATGGAGCAATTCATGCACATATCAATACAACAGGTTGTCATCCCCACTGCCTCTGAACTGGCAGACTCACTAAACACAAATACTGTAAATGATGTCTGAGTGTTGGAGTGTGCCCGTCTGTCCGTAAATAAATAAAAACTACAATAAAATTGTGCAGTCTATTTAAGGAATTTGATGTATAGCATTTACTTTTACTTTTTGCTTTTACTCAAGTATGGCATTTGAGTACTTTTTCCACCACTGTACTTAAGTACATTTAAAACCAGATACTTTTATACTTTTACTCAAGTAGAATTTTACTGGGTGACTTTTACTTTTATTTAAGTCATTTTCTATTAAGGTATCTTTACTTTTACTTAAGTATGACATTTGAGTACCACTGCACGCACACACGCACAATCACACACACACACACACACACACACACACACACACACACACCACATACACACAGACTTACAGATTCTTCGCTGAGCCCAGCCCCTCCGCCTCAGTGACATCACTAGCAGACTGGCTGAATTTGGTCTCTCTCTTGGTCCCTCCAAACAGATATATCTTCAAGGTCTTCAGTTTGGACTTCCTCTTTCCTAGGGGACACAGGTCATGACAGCCCGAACACATATGGGTCTTTCTATAAATAATGGGGCCACTGTGTGACACTAACCAGGTTTCCATCCAAACTTTTTATGCGAGTAGAGTAGCCTAAATGTTGGATAAAACATGTAATGACAGGCCTAATTGAAGCAGCACATTTTTCGTTAAACTTTCCAAACGTCGACAAAACAAAATACGTTATACAAGGTGGGATCTTTTTGTGTCGGTAAAATGAATTATGCGAGAAATGTTGTTGGAAACGCTTTTATGCGCAAATATTGGTATAATAACCATCATATCGAAGTTATATTGGTCCTCCCACTACGACTCGTCGGGAAAGCATGCAGTTTATTAGGCTACAGATGAAATAAATTATGGGGAACTTCACAGGGTGGGGAAAGTGCAAGGTGAGGGTCTTAGTCTGGTGACATGATAGTCGATGCTTGGCTGCAGTTTGAGAAAGAAAAAATAATCTCGCTCTTTTGTCTATAATAATAATCGTATTATGTAGGTAGGTTATACGTGCTCTCTAGCCAACAGCGCGCAGATAGCGCTGTAGTCTAGCGCACGTGCCAATACCAGAGTGGGCACACGCTATATACCGCAACATTGTTTTGTGAGAAAACCATCAGTAGAGTTGAAAATCCAATGGAAACCCATTTAACTTGTATTTTTTATTTGGTACATGGGAATTGAACTGCAAACGTTATTTTTGGAAAGCCAAGTTGAAGCCAACATCAGATGTCGTCCTCATAATAACCGCAAGTTGTTTTACCGCAAAAGAGTAGCGCAGCACCCTTCAATTGAAGCCGCAGGAAAATCTCTGACAAAAACGGATCAAAAATGAAATCACAGATAATTGTAAGGGAGCAGGAGAACTTATCAATTGGCTACAATAATTACAATAACTTTTCAAGCATCAAATTGAGGAAAGGTAGGCCTATTCCAGTAGTTGAATTTCTGCGCTCCAAGTTCAAGTTCACGTTCACATAGGCTACTTCAAGCCCCTTGTATTTTGTTTAAAATTGCACGTCTAACATGGAAAACTAAATGTATTTGTCATGCTATTTCATTACCAGATTATATTCTGAATAAGCCCACTAGACTATGTAATTTGTTGTCATTATATCCAGAATAATAATAGGAATAGCGTTGGCTGTTGCGCAATAGACTCTGTGTCCAATTCCAGGGTCAAAAACATATAAAAACATGAACTCATTACCTTGATGCTTTCTCTGTTAAATCTAACGAGACCTTGCTGTAAATCAAGCAGACAACAACATATGATCAACATCAATTCGCTAGGGATATTAGATCCAACGTGGATCCAGGCACAACTGTATTCTGGACATTCCTCCCGAACACCTTTTTTCCAGCACTTGGGCTGTTGTTGCATCACATGCGCGTTTACAACAGCTGTTTGTCACTTGACTGTCATTCGGAAAATTCCTTCCTGGATCAGATGATGTGTGAAAATATTATGGGGTAACTAATCAGCTTGACTACAAATGCGCATAATTATTGAAGAACCATGTTAATGACAGTATCGATTTAGGTTTTAAGTATCAAGGTAAGGTGACTGTAGGTTAGAAGCATGCGATTTTGCAATGCATACATTATTTTGGATTTGTGTGCCCATTAAAATTGTTTACAGCATATAACATAAGGAGACACGAAATGTTATGTAGTTACACTTTATTTCTGAGATCTCGATACAAAAAAACTGTCTGACAGCTAGATCCTGGATTCTTACCGGGTTCAAATTCAATGTCTAATTTAACTGATTAACACTTAATATATGATAAAAAGGCAACTTACACTGCCATAAATGCAAGGACAGAAAAGTAATGTTTTAAGTTACACGATTTTGGACATCTGTCAAGACACCAACCATGATAAAGGGTTAAACATAGGTTTTAAATCAACTCCTGAATTTCATTGCATATAGCTATGATCCCCCCTTATATCTTAATGTAATGACATGAACAAAATTGGCAGATTATTATCAATGACTTATCAACAGCTGGTAACAAGTTGTCCAGTGCAGGAAATCCTCACTGGTACCCTAGTTTATAGAAAGACCCAGATGCATTCTTATTCATACTCATACAGGCTTCTACTGCTACAGATACAAACAAATTCTCTAACACTCTGACTCACCCACTCTAACACAGATTTATAATGTGACCGATACAGATACACTCCAACACACACCAACATGTGCCTAGTTAGATACACACTCTTCTCACACTCTAACCCACTCTAACCCACTCTAACCCACTAATAGATGATTGACAGAGATACACTTACTGTATAATAACTCAGCTTTTACATGGTCTCTAAACATCATGCACATTTTCCAGGGTGTCCTACCTCCTGTAAGGTCATCAGCGCTGCCCTCCCCATCTCCTGGGAAAGACTCCATCACTCCTTCCTGTCAACAACTGCAGGAGGAATAAAGAGAGAGAAAGAAAGGGATGAATAGATAAAACAATAAACAAGAGAGACAGACAGACCAACAGATGAAAGCAGTTAGCGAGAGAAGCCAGCAGTCAGATGAGAAAGAGAGATGCTGATATGTTGTAACTAACAGAATGTCCTTTCTACCATGGAGTGAATGATCAAACCCAATACTCTCTGATCATGCTTTAGTCTCTGTGAACACGCTTCTACGCTGCACATGTATGAGTCTGATAACACACACCTGAACAGAACACTATCTCACACCACCTGGGCGCAAAGGTTTATTGGCACTAAGACTTTTACCTTGACCTAGTTGTGAAGGTGTGGTGAGAACACACTCCTTCTCCATAGGTACCTGGATGAATCACTGTTTACAATTTATAGCAGATAGACAAATGGAACACCAACAGATGGGGAATGAGAAATCTATTAATTTAATGAACGCACACCCACGAACCCACACAAACAAACACACACACACACACACACACACACACACACCAGGTAGCACACCCTTTCTGTGGTCATTACAGTCATATAATCTGTCTCTGCGGTGAAGTATTGAAGTCTACAGTGTGAGCTGCTGGTCGATGGCTAGAGGCTGATAAGACAGATAGCATGAGGCTGTGGAGCAACATGCAAAGTTCAGCCTGCTCCTGAGTCCCCATTGAGACTTAAAGAGTCTTCATGAGTTGAATTGATCTATGGGACAAGTCTAAAAACACACTGTTGCATAGTCCTAGGAGATGTGTCCCAAATAACACCCTTAATATCCTTTAGGGCAGGGGTCTTCAACCCTGTTCCTGGAGAGCTTTTCTTCTGTAGGTTTTCACTTCAACCCCAGTTGTAACTAACCTGATTCAGTTTATCAACCAGCTAATTATTAGAATATGGTGCGCTAGATTAGGGTTGGAGCTAAAACCTACAGGACGGTAGCTCTCCAGGAACAGGGTTGAAGAGCCCTGCTTTAGGGAATGGGTTGCTATTCAAGACAGACAGGAAAACAATGAACACCTCCACTGTAACAGCTGCTGCCTGCATACACTGTGTAAAATAGAGTGGAACAACTAGCTATACAGGTCAGGATCTTAATTTGACCAGTTTCTCACAGCAGGAAAATAATCCTGCAACAACAGGAAATGTGAATTATTGTGTGTATTATAATTAATTGACATTTTTGTAGGGGTTGATACATTTCTAGTTAGGGCAAATGAAGTCTGACATTTTTAAGTGGAAATGACTAACCTTTTTAAACCTTGAATACACTACAAATTTGCATTTCTGGGTGATCAAATTACATTAGATCCTATATCTGTACCACAAGGCCCCTGAGAGAAAATGGTGTCTAAAGAAACCATTAGAGTGACTTCTAATGAGCCAGAGGAAAGCAGCACCAGAAACAGGTGATAATCTGCAGGATTATTGACATTGCATAGAGATCCCTGTACGATTTCACAGCCCCATAATCCCACAACAACAGATGAATCACCAATTTCCAATGTACCAGGCCCAGCGACACAAAACTTTGCTGAGACACAGTGTATAAACAAGCACTGTTATCACACATTGATCGAATAAGCACACAGACACACACGCACACGCACACATAATATAGGCTAAACGCAGACACAGTATTTACACAAATTA